CTATAGACGTTATGTTTCTAAACCAACTTTGATGGCCTTAGGGGACACCCCAAACATCCACTTTAATATTGGGAAAATTTCCCGAAATTGGTCCGAGAGCATGGATTATAAGCCTTCGAATTTTGACAATTTTTTACTTTTTCGAATTTAGTAAGGAAAGTGGCCAGTTGCGTCCTATAAACCCCATGAAATATGAATATACTACCTTCATTTCATATTATTTGCAACTTTGGATTATTTTATATCTCATAAATATTACCCAAAGTTGCAAATAATATGAAATAGAGGTAGTAAATGAATAAAACTCTTTCTAGTAACTTTATAGAACTATTAGTAAGATATATGATTTATAATAAACTTTTATGTCTTCGGTAGATCCTACACATCAACTTCAATTTTGGAAACATTTCCCGAAATTGGTTCAAAACATTATTGTAGTCTTCATATATAGATTGTCTTTGATGTTTTCCGACCTTAAAAGTGAAAAGGAAGAAGCCAAACTACTTCCCTTAGATCTCAAAGATTGTTGTTGATTGGGATTGGATACATGTTTCTAAAATGGTCATATAATCGAATAAATTCATTTTCTAGACTTTTAAACCTATTGCTAGGCCTTTCATGGTCGCAAACTAATTTTTATGATTAAAGGGGATAACCAACACATTGACTTTGATTTTTAAAAAATCCCGAAATTGGTTAGAAAACGTCTTATAGTTGAACAAAATTTATTTTTGAGACGTTATAGACCTATTGGTAGGCCATTTATGCTTCTAAATCAACCTTGATGACCTAAGGGACACCTCAAACATCCACTTCAGTTTAGGAATTATTTTTTTCGAAATTGGTCCGAAAGTGTAATTTATAACCTTTTAATTATTGACTTTTACAAACTTGTAAAGGTAAGTTATTGAGGTGACTACCTCAAAGCTTTGGGATTCCAATTGGTGATTGGAACTATTCCTTCGCTCTTCATTTTCGCTATAAACATGTTTTGATTGGAACTATGGCAAGCTAGTTATGGCTCATTATCAACTTATATAACTTTGGGAGAGACAACAAAGACCTACTTTAATTTAAGAAAATTCCCGAAAATTGTGTGAAAGCGCATATATCTTCGAAATTGACAATTTTAGACTTTTCCTCACCGGGAAAGTAAAGAAGCTAAGTTGATTCCCGAGGACTTGTTTGGTGAATAGACCCATTTCTTGTTTTTATTTTATTTTATTTTATTTTTATTTATTTTTTTATTTTCCTCTGTAATCATGTTTTTGGAATAACTATATAATTGTACACAACTTATTCTATGGACTTTATAGATTCATTAGGTTAGTTATGGTTCAAAACCATTTTTTTATGACCTTAAGGCACCCCACCCATCAAATTCAATTTTGGAAAAGTTTTGAGTTAGTGGTTTATGAAAGTGGCGCAGGTATCACGGGAAGGGCAATTAGAAGAAATTAGTCTAGAGTTGCACCTATTTTCATGATATTCTAGGATATATTATGATTTAATAAGGAAATTCAATAATGACTAAACTATTTTTTAAATCACTTATTAAAATATATCATAAATGAATTTATTCTGAAGGACTCTTTAATACGAATATTATGATATGAAGTAATATTGTAAATTTTTAAGATAATAGTTATTGAAATTTATAATTTTTTTTATAGTATTATAATTTTATTTGTACATATGGAATATTAGTATTTTTATCGAATATAAAACTCTAAACCAACCATTTTATGTTAATAATCTATCCAAATTTTATTGAAAATGAAACTCTAAACTAACTTTTTGATCTTAAAAAATTTATCTAAATTTATCCAACATTTTTATCCTAGGTGTTTTACGAATAATCAATTGTTGCTTATGTGGTGCGACACGACTTAAAGTTGAAATGCCAAGTGTCATTTTCTTGTGGCTTGACTAAAAGTTTACCTTTATATATTAGTTATATGATATGCTATGATTTTTAACCAATTACACATCAACTTTAATTTTTGACAAGTTTTTCAAAATTGGTTAGAAGAAGTTTATTATGAGCTTCATATTTTGATATTTTTCATCTCTTGTGGGATTTGAAAGGAAAGTGTACGAGGTGATCTATGTGGACCTCGTCAAGGTAACCATCTCTTGCAATTCTTAACTTCCACTATTAGCTTTTTTCGAAATTGTCATATAACTCTACAAATTTTATTCTTTAAGACGTTATAGGGTTTTTATGTAATTATGTTTTAAACAAACCTTGATGACCTTTGGGAAAAGCATCCACTTCAATCAATCAATCAAAGCCATAATTCCATAAGTGGGGATGGCTGCATGAATCAAAAGTGATTATTCCATACTCCTCCATCCCTTACGTTCAAATTCCTCATTTAATTCAACTTTGGTAAAAATTCCTAAAATTGGTTCAAAAGCGTGGATTAAGACTTCAAATTTGGACAATTTAATTTTATGTACTAGGAAAGAAAAGTGTGATTCGATGTGTGGTGATTGGAACCATTTCTTGTGGCTCTATATATTCGCTACAAACATGCTTTTGAAATACTCAAATCATTGAACAAAACTTATTTTACATACTTTGTAGGCCTATTGGTAGCCTTGTATAGTTGAAATTTGTACATTTTTCCGTCTATTTTGAGCTTGGAAAGTTGGGATTGGAAAGTGGCCGAGGTGATTCTTGTGGACCTTAGGATACTCGGGTATTCGAAGTTGGTTATCAAAATCATCTCATGCCATTTGTTAGAATTTATATACCTATTGGTAGGATTGCTTTGGTTCCAAACCAACTTTTATCATATTAGGGGACTCCTTATGCTTTTACTTTAAATTTGGATTTTTTTTTTCTTGAATTTGGTCCAAAAGCGTGTGGATTATAGCCTTCAAATTTGGACAATTTTCAAAGGTTGCACGCTAAACAAAAATGAGGTGATTTCCATGGACCCTACAAGGCCTTGTATTCCAATTTGGTGATTGGAACCATTTCTTACAGCTCTCAACCTCTACTATAATCATGTCTTCGAAATATTAGTAAAATCGAAGAACTCCTTGAAACTTTATAGACATATTGATATGCATATTATGGTTTCAAATCAACTTATATGTTAGAAACAGATTTGAAGCATTGTATGAAAATGCAGTTGTTACGTCAATGCATCGTGAACCGGCCGGTTTGTAATGGATATTGTACTTATCGATTCGATATTTCCTGTTTTACACACCGTTTTTTGAAAAGGCCGAGATTTGATGGATACGACTTATACAAAATGAATCTTACCTGCATCGATGTTCACCGAAGAATTACTCACTTTTAGACAAAATGAAATGGAAAAAAGAAAAAATGGAGATAATTCCATTGAAACGGATGAGTTAAAGGAACAAAGCGAAAGTAAATAGTGGGACATCTATAAAGAGGTAGTCACGTGTAAGTTGAAGTAATGGGTTTGGTGGGCTTTATTAATTAATTAATTAATTTTATTGTGTAGTAATTAGTTGGTGCATTGGTACAAAGAGTGGAAGAGTGGGACCATGGAAGGGTTAAACGAGGGAGAAGGGGACCGAAAATAACTTGTTTGGAAGGAGTTAGGAAGGATATGAAGTATATGGATTTGCATGAGGATGAGGCATTGGATCGTAAGGGATGGAGGAGGAAGATTTTTGTCGATGACAACACGAAATAATCACTTTTGCTTCATGTAGCCGACCCTATTTATAGGATTAAGGCTTTGATTGATTGTAGTAATTAGTTGGTGGGACAATAGTTGGCCAATGGTCACATGCTATGACAGGTGGCCTTTTATGTTTGTTATTTGTTTTTTAAATTGTTGTTAATGGGTAATAAAAGATAAAACAAGCTTTGTAGTAATACAAACATATGGTTTTTTTTTTAAGGGTAATAAAGTATACTAATTCAATTTAAAACCCACATAAAAATTAATTAAAAATCCTAAATTACAACATTTAGATTAATTAATTTAAAATAAAATTCTACCGTGACCTGGTCCGTGATCAACACATCATTACCATTAATGTGAGACCGCAATCGTTCCCGCGATCGTGACCGAAACCGCATTTTTATACTATGGTCTGAAGTGTAAAATTTTGACATTTTTGGATTTATGTTAGCAGATAGAAAAGGGGACAAGGTGCTTTTCCCATGGACACTATGTTATGGATTCCAAGTTGGTGTTTGGAACCAACTATTGTAGCTTTTGACTACCATTGTAAACTCGCTTTCGAAATAATCATATAATTGAGCAAAACTCATTTTCGAGATTTTAAGCCTGCTATGGTTTCAAACCAACTTTTAAGATCTTTAGGGAACACTCTACATGTTCATAAAAACTCGGTCGAAAACGTGGATCATAGCTTTTACATTTTGACAATCTTCGCTCATGAAACCTACGAGAACCTAGGAGGCCATTTTGTTGTTGTGGGGGGGGGGGTAGCGGTTACCTATGTTTTGTTGGAAAAGTAAATTAATTTATGTTTATTGTTCAATTATATTCATATGTTACCCTTATAATTTTGTTCTTTTATTTTTGAAAGACCATATGCTCTTGTTATGGACCAAGATAGTTGACGTGCTTGCATATATTTCAGTAGATGTTCTTTTATCTTTGGTATCTTAATATTAGGTTTGCTAATTATATTGGTTGCTGTCATGATTAATGAAACAATATTAGATGTTTTGTATGTAAATGTTTACCTGGAACACAAGTCTGAGACTTTGGAAAGAGGCTGGTGTTACTCTATTACGTCTGACTGTTGTCAAAATTAAAAAGGAGAATCTGATGTTGCTCTGAGTGGAGAGATGAATTGAGACTTTGACTGTGCTTCTTGTTTCTTGCATAAGTATCATTTTTGTAGGAAGGGTTTTTTTTTTTTTGGGGGGGGGGGGGGGATGGTGTTTCTCAGTTCTTTCTTCTTAAAATCAATTTTCTTTTTGATAATTCTTTAACAATATAAGATTTCTGAATGCTGTAATGCATGCTTAGGACACAGAGATCATCGAGCAGATTGATCGGGATGTGAAAAGAACTCACCCAGATATGCAATTTTTCTCTGGGGATACGATTTCTGCAAAATTAAATCAGGTTAGTAGTTTAGCTATCTTTGTCTTCTATTTGTGGTATTGTTATCTTTTCTCTGCTAAATTTATGACATTCTTACTACTGTAGGAGGCTCTGAGGAACATTTTGATTGTGTTCGCTAAGCTAAACCCCGGTATAAGATACGTACAAGGAATGAATGAGTTATTGGCACCTCTCTTCTATGTTTTTAGGAATGATCCAGATGAGGAAAACTCTGTAAGTTAATAAAATGTGTGGACAAATATGTATCAATGTATATATGCTATATATTTCCTCCGTTTTTTTTAGTTGACACCGTTTGACTTTTAAACTATTCACACAACACGCTTGACTCGCTTTTGTGGTTTATGGATACGATAAAACATATTCTTGTGGGATCTTGTTTGAATCGTTTCTATTTATATTTTATTAATATCCACTTTTTCTAATTTTATAATGTTGATAATTAGAGATATTAATCGTTAAAAACATGCGTTGACAAGCGTGATAATAGAAAGACTTCAACTAAAAAAAAAAAAAATAGGAAGTATGATTAAGTGTCCCCCCCCCCCCCCCCCCCCCCGCGCGCGCGTCTGTGAGAGATGAGACCTAGGATGCCTGAACATGGAGATCTCATCTACCTTTAATTTATACTTTTACTTCATTTTATTATAGACCAATAAGTCATGTATGTTAGTTATGTCACTCACATGTTGATCTTTTATCCTTAAGCCTGATATAGTCCAAGTAAAAGGAAACCTGGTAATGTGATGATATTCTTACTATCGTTAGTTATATGATTGCTCTACACTTGAAATATTTCTTCTTGACTTCCTGTCGTCCTAGTTTCTGTAAGTTAAATTGTTTCCGAGGCACACTTAGCTACTAGGAAAAGGCCTCTTTGCTTCACATACCTTGGGGTGTCTCCATCAAGGCATGTGATGAGTAGCGCCATTTTCTTGGTTACCTACATTCTTTGATGCTTGTACTTTGGAAACTTCTATAGTTATTGGGAAATTTAAAATAATCTCATCAGTCATAGCGGTGACTAGCCCAATAGATTGGCTCTCTTAATCTTGGAACCTTTCAATAGTGCCATTTTCTTGGTTTACCTACATTCTTTGATGCTTTTACTTTGGAAACTTGTATAAATATTGGGAAATTTAAAATGATCTCATTAATCATTCTATGTGACATCTTTAGGGCAAAAGGCTACACAAACCATAAATAAATAGCGGTGACTAGCCAATATATTGACTCTCTTTGTCTTGGAATCTTTCTTCTTCTCCCTGATTTGCTCTCTAACCTTTGCATTGCTGATTTTTTGCTTCAATTACATCATCTTCTTCTTCTTCTAGGTATCTTTTTTTTTTTATTTATTTCCTTTGCCCTATGGATTATTCAGTTCTAAAGATCTCTGCTCTAGATTTTTCTCTCTGTTAATTTTCTTTCTTTACTTTCCTTTTTCAGTGTGTAGCACTGTTGTTTCTCGATACCCCTAAACTTTTGTTGGTGGCTGGACTGCACCCTAAAAGTAGAAGATATTGTGCATTTTTAATAAGTTGGACTGTGCCACTTTTATGCTATCTTATTTAGAAATATTTCCTTGAGAACTAATTGAGTAATATCAAGTATATAATCACTTGGCACTTTCTCATGTCATTGCAACATTAAGTTTCCACGTGTCCTAACTCACCCTAATAATTTGAATTAAAAGTGGCATTACGACGGAGAACTTCTTAACCGTACCATCTTAAATCTCTTTGCTCCTCTTGCCTCTCCCTGCCTTAAGAATGACTTTCTCTATATTATTTCTTTTTCTTCTTTTATCCTTTGCCCATAATTTTTTAAAAGAGAGCATAAACTGATTTTCATGAAGTATTTCTGCTTCAATGTCTTACCTGTGTTACAACTTAGCAGACTTGACGAAATATTATTATAAAATTCAAGATTGGTCAAGTCAAGTTCAATCAGGTGTGGTAAGAATATTTTGGTAACCAGGGTGTAAGTGCAACTTTGCAGTAGTTGATTGAATTTTGGGTATTGAATAATGTGATGTATCGAAGTGTTGGAGGTGAAGACATGGATACTATAATTAGAGGTCTCTAGTTCAAATCTTGTGGAGGCCATATAATCTAGGGAAAGTCATATAGATAATCAATCAATCAAAGCCTTAATCCCAAAAGTGGGGTTGGCTAAAAGGAAAGTCATATAGATACTAATGTATATTAACATGTAGAGATCTTTTAGAAAAACTTGTATGGTGAAGCATGCTCAAAAGATTTCTTAGATCCACCATTGAGGATATTGACAAAATTGAGATCTATGTTGCACGGGGACGCCTTATGGCCGGTGTCCCCCATCCCCGGGACGTTACGGGTACGGATACGCTCTCGAGGACGGCTTGGGTACGTCCCCGGGATGAGTTAACTTTTTGGGGACGGGTTGATTTTTTGGGGACGTTTCTGGGGACGCGCATGAGGCTCAATGCCGTCCCCAAGGGTAATTTTTGGCTTTTTAAAATAAAAAGTTTTTTTTTTAGTTTGTCGTCCCATTTCCCCCAATTCATAGTTCACACTTCAAAACTCACAAATTAAGGTTTATCACTTTCTCATTATCTATCTCTCGACGGTGGAGTTTGGGCAGCGGCGGCGAGGCTAATCGGCGGTTGGCGCTTCTCTTCTTCTCTTTCTGACTTTCTTCTTCTCCTCTCTTCTAGCCTTAAAATATTCTCGGTGTTGTAGTGTTGTTTACACTTTTATACTTTGTTTTAATGTTTCTGATTTCATGATTTGTTCTTATTTTAAATGTTGTGGTAAACATTGGCTAAAATTGTTTTTATTATCATTTTATTTTTTTGCATAAATTTTTTTACTATGATCCAATTTTTTTATATTTAAATTTACATTTTAAAAACCGCAGTCCCCAAAGCCGTCCCTGTACTCTGGAATTTTTAGATTTTCCATTTCCCGTCCCTGTACCCGTACATGCCCTCGTACCCGTATTGGTGCATCATAGATTGAGATAGTATACTAGAATTTCTGTGTAAAAATGTTGCATTGTTTACTTTTGATGATATGGTAAAACTTTTAGCTTTTTGTCTGCAAAATTTTTATATAGATGTTCCTCATAAGTTATTGTGTTTCTGATCATGTGGATGATTTCCCTTCTGCAGGCTGTTGCTGAAGCAGATACATTCTTTTGTTTTGTTGAGTTGCTTAGTGGATTCAGGGATAATTTCTGTCAGCAACTTGATAATAGTGTTGTTGGAATCCGTTCTACGATCACAAAATTGTCAATGCTTTTAAAAGAACACGATGAAGAACTTTGGCGTCACTTGGAGGTCACTTGTAAGGTAATGTATATCGTTTTTGCTGTATTTTCTGCTCCAATCTTCCTATAGCTCTTAATTCTCAGTGCTATCTGGCCACCTTCAGTTGTATCTATTTTGTCAGTTATTATCTTCTGGTATAAGCCTATAGCAGTTCTTTATTAGTCTTCTTCTTTAATGAATCATATGCAAATAAGTACCTAGGTTGCAGATGTAAAAAAATGTATTGAGTAAATAAATTTTGGGATAATCATGATGCATCATATATGCTCATGACTTACACGGACTCTGTTTGAGGTGGAAGCCATAGTGAACTTTAATGCTGGGTGGTGGTGGTGTTGCAGTTGATTTTAATTACAGTTATTGTTAGCAAAGACTGCACAAAGAAGCTAGATATGTGGAATGACACTAGTGGCACATCTGCAGTAAGAATGAGAACGGGATTGAAGGTTTCTTTCTCACTGCTGTATGCGTATTCTGGGAGCAAATTGGAGTTGGATGTGAGGTTTGAGTGGAAAAAAGTCTCTCATTCCCAACATTTTGTACCTGGTGAATGACTACCTGTATACTCTATTGCTGGCCATTACTTAAATGCCACATAACAGCCTGATAAACTATTAAAGGAATAAGTGACTGACAATAGCCTCTGACAGATTGGCAAATACATTGTTATAAATATGAAAGATTTATTCATTGTAAAGTAGGAGTGTGTACAAATGAGAGTCTGGAAAACTAACTGAAACCTCAGCAGTGCCTATTGCCAGTATTACATAAATAAAAAAAGTTAGCTGTCCCTTTTTTTTTTTTTTTTTTTTTTTTAGTATTTTTATTATTTTTTATTATTTTTAATAACTGCTGTATGCTTGTTTAAAGCTTTTCTTCAAAATTTTAAGAAAAGAGTTCGACAAACAAAAAAGCTGGCCAAAGACTAAGGAGCGATCCAGTTTTGTATAACCACTTACCAAATCAATGGATTCTGGTTTTATTGCACTTTCTTCAGTCTCATTCAAATTTTTTGCGTATCACTTCCATGACTCAAATTTATATGATGGCCTCTTAATAATGCAAACTTGTAAACACTTTATACTTGTTTGCTGCAATTTTGTATATTTGTGTAATGCTCAAATGACATTATAGAATACTATCAACCTTGTGCCTCTCAAGAGGTGGCCCTTGCTGTTTCAGCTGATGAACTACACAGAGCATACACCAGATTTGATAGGAAAGCTAATGATGTGAAGTGGACATAAATGTTTGTTGTACACCTAAGGCCTTGTTACTGAATGTTTAACTTCCTACTCTTTGGTGACAGGTTAATCCCCAATTTTATGCATTCAGATGGATAACTCTTCTTTTGACTCAAGAATTCAGCTTCACAGACAGCCTTCATATTTGGGACATTCTATTAAGTGATCCTGAGGGGCCACAGGTGTGTTTAAGCTATTAAATCATCTTAATTATTTTTAAATTTTTAATTATTTATTTTTTAATTTTTTGGTTCTGGAGCTAAGTATGGGGATTGGGCTATGTTACTTGTTGACAAAAAAATATAGGCGGCACATATTATGCTCTTAATTTTATATTTAGTGATGCAATGAACTCAACTTCTACAGCTATGTTGTCCTTATTGCAAATTATACTAGCTACATATCAAGTATCATCTCCTGCAGCAGAATTTTTATAAACTGCATTAACTTTTGGGCGAAGAAGCCCATCAGTTAGCCAAAGTGTTATAGTTTTGTCCGAGTGCAAGGAGCCAAAATTTTGTTGGAATTGTATTAGAGCTTGGAGGTTATGTGGTTTGACTGTAAAGGCTAAACTTCATAGTTACTGTTCTATTATGCCTCTACTGCAGTATTTTTTTTAATCCCTTATACTGGCAATATACTTGTGGAATTTATGGAAGAATTTGTTAGTGTAAAAATTATATTGTTTGTCTATAATGTTTAATACTTCGTATTAAAAACGTGTTATTGAGGATATTCCCTGAGAAGATTATTGTATGTAATAGTCATAGAACATTAAGGAAATTTGCACAAAAATTCATGCTAATATTGGCTGCTTCACTTCACAACTGATTGTTGCTTATGTCGTGGCAGGAAACATTGCTAAGAATCTGTTGTGCTATGCTAATTCTAATCCGGAGACGGTTGCTTGCTGGTGATTTTACTTCCAATCTCAAGCTTTTGCAAAACTACCCCTCAACAAATATTAGTCACCTACTATATGTTGCAAACAAGTTAAGGGCCCATCCAACTAGCTAGGTTCTTTTGTATGACACTTCAGTTCCCTATGATTCTTTCTGTGTTTTTTTATTATTACTTCTGCACATTGTAGAGTACCGTTTTTGTATGTTTAGTTTATCTTTTGTTATATGTAAATGTCTGTTAAAAGCATTGGTTGAACGCTGCCATGTTTGTTTTCAATAACTATTTCATTGTATCCCCCTTCCCCGCCAAACCAAAGAACACAATCCTGCTGTATGTGGTTTGTTACCTTAATTGTGGTGATGTTGACAATGTCCGTCAAATTAAGGGGTTACATATTACATTCTTTCTACTTTAACTAATTTATATTACTCTTGCTACCTTTGAACCATGTACTAATGAAGGTTGAGTAGCTTTGTTAGGAAATATTGTGCAAAACTACCTATTGTATTTCTTAAATATATTATTGAAAGCTATTATCCACGCTTTTTTAGAAATTTTTTTTATGTTACGCGCACCAATGCCGAAAAGTCTTGGGGATACGTCTTAGAGACATATAATGACGTTTGGAATCATATATTACCATTATATGTTGTCAAAAATGTCAGTGGTAGGCTTGAGTTCACGAAATCGGCACAAGTTTTGAAAGGGTAATTTGACCATTTTAAGGCAAATTTCATGGTTCCACCAACCAAATTGGACTCCGGGAGGGTATTAGAGACAACAGTAAACATCTCGACAATTTTTATTTTCGGGCAAAAAATGGTCAAAAAATTCAAAAATTGAAGGCTATTATCCACGCTTTTTAAGGAATTTTTTATGTTACGGGGCCCGGTAGCTAAAAGTCTTGAGACCTTAGGGGATACATCTTAGAGGCATATAATGACGTATGGAATCATATATTACCATATATGTTGTCAAAAATGTCCGTGGTTGGCTTGAGTTCACGAAATCGCTACAAGTTTCGAACGCGTAAATTGACCGTAATAAGGCAAATTAGATGGAACCACCCACCCAATTGGACTCCCGTAGTGTATTAGACACCATGGTAAACATCTCGACAATTTTTTTTCTAGGGCGAAAAATGGTCAAAAAAATTCAAAAATTGAAGGCTATTATCCACGCTTTTTGAGAATTTTTTTATCTTACGGGGCCCGGTGGCAAAAAGTCTTGAGAACCTAGGGGATACATCTTAGGGACATATAATGACGTTTAGAATTGTATATTTCCATTATATGTTTTCAAAAATGTCCGTCGTAGGCTTGAGCTCACGAAATCGGTACAAGTTTCGAACGGGTAATTGACCGTTTTCAGGCAAATTTAATGGTTCCACCTACCCAATTAAACTGCCTGAGGGAATTAGGGATCATGGTAAACATCTCGGAAATTTTTATTTCCGAGAGAAAAATGGTCAAAATTTTCAAAAATTGAAGGGCTATCCACGCTTTTTAAGAAATTTTTTATGTTACGTGGCCCGGTGGCGAAAAATCTCGAAACCCTAGGGGATACATATTAGGGACATATAATGACGGTCAGAATCATATATTACCATTATATGTTGAAAAAAATGTTCGTGGTAGGCTTAAGTTCACGAAATCGATACAAGTTTCGAACGCATAAATTTATCGTAATAAGGCAAATTAGATGGTTCCACTCACCCAATAGGATTCCTGGAGGGTATTACGGACAATGGTAAACATCTTGGAAATTTTTATTTCCGTGCGAAAAAGGTCAAAAAAATCATAAAATTGAAGGCTATTATCCACGAATTTTGAAGAATTTTTTATGTTACGGGCCCGGTGGTAAAAAGTCTTGAGACCCTAGGGGATACATCTTAGAGACATATAATGATGTTTGGAATCATATACGGAGTATTACCATTATATGTTGTCAAAAATGTCTTTGGTAGGCTGGAGTTCAGGAAATCGGTTGATATGTCCATTTTATATAGTAATTTACCCCCGTCCCTTGGTCATAATTAGTAGTGTTTTTGGCTCTTTCGAGCCACTTTTATTACTAATTTGTGTTTTCTGGTGTTTTCGTAGTCTTTGTTGAGTTTTGTAGGAAACTGCGGCTTTTGAGCATTTTCTCGGGTTTTTCATGAAGCGACTACGGAATTAGAAGTGCACGACCATCCTTGAAGCACAAGGCCAGTTAGAGTCATCGATCCGGTGATTAAGGGCTCGGTAATTGGGATCCCGAGGTATTTGGACCGAGTATTCAAGACCCGGAGAAGAAATCCGGATTGGGCCAAGAAATCAAGCCCAATCGAAGTCCGAGCCTTAAAGTATAGCAAGGGCCCGATTGGGCAAGAGGTTGCACGATCGGGCGCGGCGCGACGTTGTTGATGTTGTGTGTGCTTATAGCGCGCTCGATCGTGCGAGCATCTAGAACGATCAGGCGATGCTGCTGAGAAGGAACGCGAAGAAAAAGGCGGGCCCGATCGGGCGCATGTTTTTATGGAGCCTGATTAGTTTAGTTTTAATTCTTGTTTTAGGAAACATTTAAGTAGGATTTTTGTACGGAATTTTGATTACCTTCTTTCTTAGACTTTCTCTCTCTACTTAGATTATTTCACTCTCTTAAATTCTCTCTCAACTTTTGTTCTTAATTATTTCCATTCATCCAGATTTCTTCTTGGTAACAATTTCTTCTCTTTTAATTCCAGCTATTTTACTTACTTCTTTGATTATGCTTTTATTTATTTATTTGATTAGTTTAGTTATGATGATGCGTGAGTAGTTTTATTTCTAGGGTTTATGGGGATCTAATAAATGATGTGAAGAGGTAATTTTGTGATTGTTGATTATCAATGTTTGGTTGATTTCCTATTGATTGATTTAATGCTATGCAATTAGGTTTGGCCAGATTTAATTGTATGAGTTTAGCAATATTAATTCGAGATTCGACAGATGAGAATTGATGTTTAGGCTTAGTTTCAATAGGCGGATTAATTTATAAATGGTTAAGTCGAGATTCGACTGATGAGATTTAATACCGGTAAATTAACTCTGTGATTATAATACGTAGCGAAAGCACTTTATAATCTGATTAACCAATGTTTGATGATTGCTTATTATGATTTTCCCTGGAATATTGTTTATTAGTGAACCTATGCCCTAGGCCTTTTAATATTTGATTTTCTCCTACTTTATTCCTTTCGACCTTATTCTCCGTAGTTTAGATTTTATTCATAAAAATATTGGTTACTTAGATAATTTAGACTATAATAATTAATTAGGAATACAAAGATTGTTTCCCTGTGGAGTTTGACCCTACTTCCCTATCTACTTTAGTTAGAGGACTTAGGTAATTATTTTTTATTAGAGGATACGACTTTACCCTGTCATCGGTACAAGTTTCGAACGGGTAAATTGACCGTTTTAAGGCAAATTAGATGGTTCCACCCACCCAATTGGACTCCCGGAGGGTATTAGGGACCATGGTAAACATCTCGACAATTTTTATTTCTGTGCGAAACGTGGTCAAATTACTTAAATATTGAAGGCTATTATCCACGCTTTTTGAGGAATTTTTTATGTAATGGGGTCTGGTGGCAAAAATTCTCGAGACGTTAGGGGATACATCTTAGGGACATATTGACAGGGTAAAGTCGTATCCCCTAATAAAAAATAATTCCTAAGTTCTCTAACTAAAGTAGATAGGGAAGTAGGGTCGATCTCCACAGGGAAACAAGTCTTTTTAATTCTAATTAATTAATATAATCTAAATTATCCAAGTAACCAATATTTTAAATTTGATTTCTATACTACGAAGGGTGAATTAGGGAGAAAAGAATCAATAATAAGGACTAGGGTCGCAGGTTCACCAATAATTAATATTCCGGGATAGAACGAAGCAATCAATAATTAACAATGCATCAATAACTTGATTAACAGGCTCTCGCAATTTATTAACCAACATGGATCTAACAGGCTCTCGCAATTTATTAGACCTAAGTTCCTAGTAAAAATAGCCTTTAATATTAAATCAACATCTACTCGATTCATCAATTCAATATTGCTAAACATTCACAATCAAATTACATCTGCTCGATTCATAATCTAATTGCAAAGAATTAAAACAATTCAATAGGAAATTATCATGCAATATCAACAATCAATAATAACAAACTATCCCTTCATATTAATTATGGATCCCCATAACCCTAGAATTAAACTACTCACTAATCATCATAACTAATCCAATCAAATAAACAATTAAAAACATAAACAAGAAAACAATTAAAATAGCTGAAATTAGAAAGGGAAGAAATTGTACCAAAACAAATCTGGAATTAATGAAAGAATTAAGTACAAGAGTTGAGAGAGAATTCTAGAGAGAGAAAAATACTAAGTAGAGAGAGAAAGTCTAAGAGAAAGAAGTCATTAATTATCCGTACAAAACGAATATATATATCTCCCCTAAAACACGAATTAAACAAAGCATAATCAGGTTCTAACAAAACACGCGCCCGATCGGGCGAAGGGGGCGCCCGATCGGGCCCGCCTTTTTTCTATGCCTATCCTTCAGTGCTGCGCCCGATCGAGCCTACGCTCACCCGATCGGGCGCGCATCTTCTTGGCAGCTGGCATGAGCGTAGCTCGCCCGATCGGGCGCAAGCTTGCCCGATCGGGCCCGGCTTCATCTTGGAGGTTTGGACTTCGATTTGGGCTACATTTCTTGGCCCAATCCATATTTCCTCTCGAGTCTCGAATACATGGTCCAATTGCCTCAGGCTCCGAAAATGGTCGTGCTCCTCCTAAATGCTCATAGTCGCTTCATAAAAATCCCGGGAAAATGCTCCGAAGGTGCAATTCCCTGCAAAACTTAACCAAAACTACGAAAACACTAGAAAACACATATTAGTAATAAAAGTGGCCCTAAAGGGCCAAAAACACTACTAATTATGACCAAGGGACGGGGGTAAAATACTATATAAAATGGACACATCACATATAATGACTTGAGTAATCATATATTACCATTATAAGTTGTCGAAAATGTCCGTGGTAGGCTTGAGTTCACGAAATCGATACAAGTTTTGAACGCGTAAATTGACCGTAATAAGGCAAATTAGATGGTTCCACCGACCCAATTGGACTCCCAGAGGGCAATAGGGGACCATGGTAAACATCTCGAAAATTTTTATTTGCTGGCTTAAAAAGGTCAAAAAATTCCAAAATTGAAGGCTATTATCCACGTTTTTTGAGGAATTTTTTACGTTACGGGGCCCGGTGACAAAAAGTCCTGAGACCCTAGGGGATATATCTTAGAGATATACAATGACGTTTGGAATCATATATTACCATTATATGTTGTCAATAATGTCTGTGGTGGATTGGGTTCACGAAATCATTACAAGTTTCGAGCGGGTAAATTGACCTT